TTCAATCTTTGGGATTCATTCATTCCTAAAATAAAGGATAGACAATATATGAGTGTTAGGTTATCTGCATTCAGCTCTTTGCTCTGCCTCAGACTTTCTGAATGACCTTGAGCAAATAACTCACTGCATCTACCCCTCACCCTCCTTTGGCTACATCACAAAAAGATACTGGAACACTGAATGCATGGAGAAGGCACTCAGACACCATGGTGATAAGTTCCATGCAAAAAAAGTTCTATGCAAAAAAGTACAGGCATATTTAAAGGAAAAGATAATGCTGTCCTGACTCACTATAAACTGCATGCTCTCCTGAAAGGTCACCTCCTCCAAGCTGTTTTCTTTTTTTCTCTTTACCAAAAAAAATTGCAAAGTAACAAATATTTCTTTTCATCATTCCCTTTTCCTTCTTTGCAAAGGACATAGTCATCTTCTAAGTACTGCTTTACACTGAAAGTTGAAACAAGTAATCAGAAAGCTAATGGTGAATTTATTATATACCGATGTGTTACAACGCCATGTTGAAATTCAGTTTGACCAATGACACAAACTCATTCTCCTGACTGCAGATCAAGTATCTGAGCAGAATAACCTTTGCAGGCAACAATTCCACCTGTCGTATACCAAGAAACACATACCACCAGTGTAGTCTTTCTACAAGAGCCTTTGAAGTACCAGAATGGAAGCAAGTTCTAACTGCAGGCAAATGAATACAGATTCTATCTTTGCTTTCAGAGCTTGCACTGACAGGAAGTAGAGAATAACCAACATTGCACTTCCTCAGCTCAGAAGAAAATACTTGGCACAACTCCAAGATGGAAGGCAAGAGAGATCTGTAGCACCTTTGTAACCACAATTCAGGCTACAAACACACAAGGCAGATTACTCAGTGGGCCTTTTTACAGTGTCTGATAATGCAGGGCAAGAGCTCACCTCTATCCAGTAGAGATATATTTCATTTATAAAGGGAAATGCTGACATTTGCACAAACAGTTCCCACAATCTGTTGCCTTTGAGCAAGGATTACTGAAAATACTTTCTGACCAGTCCCTTTAAAGGTAAGTACACAACAGTGTAAGAGTATGTACAGTGTAACAGGATGTAACATATGTACACAATATACCTCCTGCAAAAGTCTGCATGGCCTTCCATTCAGTTCTGGATGCTGGAGTTTTATTACTTCCAGATTGTAATATATTAAGGTTTTCTATGGAGTCCTGTAATAAAAGAAGGTCCATATGGGTTCAGTGGCTGTAGGTATCTCCAATATGAAAAGACTCACTGATTCAACCCCACACCACAACAGCCTGAGAAGTCTGCAGCCACTGAGCTACAGCTGCTCTGAGAATCTGCTTAGCCCAAAATATCAGCCGTAACTTTATATCTGTGTTCCTTAAGGGAGGGATTTTAAAAAAATTCAGGAATAACATTGTCACAAAAGTTTTCTTGATCTTTCAAAATTTTATTCTACACTCATGACTTCCAAAGGATACCTCATTTACTACACTGCAAATATGAACTGTGCTCTGCCCCTGCCACTTGTGCAGGTCAGTCCTACAGTTAGTTCATCTGCATGACCACACTGACACGGGATTTTACAAAAAGTCTTTGCACAGTTCACCTCAGTGTTCTCCTTCCATGTTTGCTGCCAAGACAGAAACACATACTTTTTCTCCACAAAAGACATGCTTGAAACAAATGCAGGATTCTCAAGTGCAACATAATAATAATAATAATACACACTTGGACACCATTATGAGATCTTTCTTTTCTATCATGTTAACTGTCCCTGTGTACTAGTAGGCATAATCAGCCTAATGAAAAATCCAGAAGGAAAAATGTGTGTGCACTCTGTTATTAAATTTTATTGGCTTCAGGTGCATTTCACATCTCTTTGAAGTGTTTCACAAAGATGTCACTGCTCTTTAACCCACTGGCTGTCACTGCAGCCCCAAGAGGACTCTGCTTCTCTCAGAACTCACTACATCCCAAAGCACAAGTGGAAAGGAGATACAGAGGACAGATACTTGTGCTACATCAGAAAAATTTGCTGGTGATTGGAGTGAGCAGTGTGGTCCCAATTCACTGACTTAGGTCCATCAGCAGTTATAGCTAAAAACACATTAAATTCACTATTTCCCTCTAGGACTGCAGTGATTGCTACAGGGTAATGTAAATATAAATGGGACAGGAAGGTTCTGCCTAATAGAAGAATAGGAACAGCAGCTCTCTGTTAAGATTTCCTTTGTAATACACCAATAATATCCTCCGACCGAGGCATAAGATTAGTCCTCACTTCATCCTTTAAGTACATCTCATGTGTGTTAAAGACAGCTGGAAGACAAACTGAGTGTAAATGACATTGGGCCCAAGCTTATTACAAAATTGGATCTGGGAGATCCTCTCCCTTCAGTAGCAACACAGCTTCTTTTCAGACAGTAGCAAAACCACTAATGCCAGTGGGCTGACAACTGACACCAAAAGGAAGTACTTCCTGACAAAGAGGATGGCATGTGGAGTCACTCTTCTGCTATGCCAGGGACAGCTCCTCTCTGTCAGCTAAGGAACTGTCTCCATTGTCCATTTTAACTCCCGACTTACACTTCAAACAAACTTTCTCTGGCAGTCAGACAGATCCATTGTGTCACATGCCTTGATCAGGAAGACAGGGAGATGACAGGAAACCCCCTTGGCTAAACAAAGCCCAGTTAATGCCAGCTTGCCATTTTTGACATCCCTGTCATTGTCTCTCTGGTATGTGTTAGTAACTGGACAGGATCAAATTGCTGGCAATGGTCACAGACCTGGCTGCTGGAATAGCCCTTGGAGACATGGGTTCAGTCATCAGTACCTGACAAATCATGGACCTGTGTGAGATGCACCAATGCAAGGTGCCAACCAGGTATGGTCTGGGTATTGTTCCAGCAACAGTGAATACTGCCTTGCACTACAGGAGCATTAGTGCATTCCCTGCCTTTCCATTCTCTGGTAACACAGTACTTTGTATAAAATCAGAAGCAGACAGCAGGTCTGCTCTCCATGCACCGACAGCTCCTCCCTCAGTGCTAAGGGCAGGAGAAGGATGCTCACCTTCACTGAGTTAGTAACTTCTGCTGTGCTTTTACTTGCATTGTCGACTCTACTCCCATTCAGACAGAAGCCTGTAGCTTGGATTCAGTGGTGCCTTAAATCCAAGCTGAGAAGACACAAGCTTGAGAGCCATTGACTTTCAATCTGCTTATTGCAAACAGAAAGCTGGACACTGAATCACTATCCATCAAGTGCAAGCTCAATTCTTCTGCTAATGTAGATGGTCACAACACAGTGCAGTTTCTGCTCTTTGGGGAGGGTGCTGACCTGAACTGGGTAGTGTCATGGAGATAGGAATACAATTATTCTGTGCCAAATGCCTTTCTTTTACCCATCTGTCTCTAAGCTCCACCTGCATGCTCCCCTCCTCTGAGACCTCTGACCTTGCCTTTTCGACCCGTAATCTCTGCTGTGACTGTTAATGTCATATTTACAACCAAACTAACCAAACAATTGGTTCAGTAACTCTTCTGTATGAGTCTATTACTCCTAATAAATTCAACTGTTTAGACTTGCATATTTATCTCACAGTTCTCTACTGCTGTATTGATGACTGAATACACCCTTAAGTGGACAACTCACATTTAAAAGGAGAGACTCTGTTGTGATTTTTGCCAAACTCTCTTCAGGGTAGTGGGCAGGCATTGTGCCACACAAACCTCTCTGGCCTCCTCTCTTGTGTTAGAGGAGTTGGGTATGCTCTGAGCAAAGCTCACCAGCAAACACGGGTTTGTGCCATGTTTTCACTTCTCCATGAGCCTCCCTGTTCATTTGCTTGTGAATAGCATGGAATATGAAATCATGGCTCTCTCCTTCTGTGCAAGAGGTCAGAAAGGTCAGCTACAATTGTGCAAAGGATGTGGGTTTTTTCCTTTGGTCACAGGAGACCAAGGCTCAGTGTAAGTAACGCAACCTGCCTGAGTCAAATACAACAAACACTTCAAGTGCAACCATTAAAAATATCCCAGAAATTAAAAGTGCAAACCTGCTATAAACAAAAATCTGGCAGTGAGGAAATCGCTTTCTTTCCAAAGAGTGTTTTGACAAACTATTCAGAGGCTGAAAGTGAACCTCATTTCCACCCCAGAACTCTGTCCTCTTGAGAGCCTGGGATGGGGGTAGAGGGGCAAAGGGAAGACTGAAAAGTGACACACAGTGGGAGTAACCTTCCAGAGATAATCAATGGCTTCATAATGAGCAGCCGACTCTACTGAATATTGATTAGCCAGTGCTGGCAAGCTCTGCTCCGGGGAGGTCAGCGCTCCTGCCAGCTGCCTTGTGTGAGCACAAAGGAGGCCTCAGCAAAAGGCAAATTGTAAACGGCAGGTTTTATATGAGAGGCACCATTCAGGCCCTCAGTAGAGGAAAAAAAACCCAAAGTATGGTCACTGCACAAGCAGGCACAAAGCAGCAGCAGTCCTGCTAACTTTCGTTATTACACTGTGCTATGAAGTGCAATGCTGGGTTTACCCTAATAAACTTGTTATAAAGATTATTAGTTGCAAATGTGCAGATACCAGGAGTTGCCACAGGTTCTCCTTCCCTAAAAGTTTCACAGACATGTGAAATGAGGTACTTTCACAGACAGCTGCCCTCAGAAGCTTTGCCCAGTGCCACACCTCAGTCCATGGCAGGTATAAGTACATATTTCAAGCTGGTACCATATGCTGGCCTAGGCCAGCTGTAAGCATAAGTCATGCACCTGAAGCAGCACAGCTGTGTGTCAGCACTCCATCCCTCCCACAGCACCATCTGATCTTACTGTCCCATTCAGTAACTGTGATTTTAGCTTTTTAGTATTTTTAAAATATAAATAGTTAGATATTAATTTTATTATTACAGCCATTGGTAGATACACACAAAACTTATACTGCTGAGGAAATTAGACATTAGTGACTAAAAGGATATCCTACCTTTTTTGAAGCAGAGAGTCTTTTCTCATAGGCTTTCTGTGGAAAGAGAAATTGTGACAGTCAGGGAAAAGAGATCTTGAAACTGTGTTCTTTAAAAGAAAAAAAAAAGGAAGAAGAAGAAAAGAAAAAAGTTCCAGTTCCTGGTTTCTGCCTGGTGTAACTCATCTGACTCCAGTGGGGCTGTCCCAGAGTAGATTCGTCCCTCTGTCTTTGCCAAAAAGAGAACAACAGGAGCCAGCCGAAGGCATCTGCTTTTGCATTTCCTCAGTGAATCCGTTCATTATACTCTCATGATAGAGAACTTGTAAACAAAGGCACTTCATGATGCTGCATTGTGCTATCCATAATTACATTGCATGTGCTTCATCAGCATACATGCTTCAGGGCACACTGCAAAAGCTTTTTATGTATTCAGGACTCTTTCTGAGAGGGTGGGTTAAATGAAGAGAGGGAAAAGCTAGCAGTTAAAACAGCAAAAGAAACCCCAACAGTTACTTAGAGAGGAGCTCAGTGTAAGAGTAGGAGAGGAAGCTTTATGAACACACACTGCAAAAAAAAAAAAAGACGGTAGCAAAATCCCTGCCTATCAGTATCCCAGTTAGTTTGTGTGCTTTAAGACTTCCACTTGTTATTTCTCTTAAAGACCACAAGCCCTTTAAAACAGTAATCATGTTTATGCAGTGTTACCACATGAAAACCTCAGCCTGGATAGGGATTCAGAAGAACTTTTTTTAAAAAAACAGTTCAGTTTGGAAGCTCTCTGATGTTACCTTTATATAAATGACCAGCCATGCCTTGACTTCAAAGTGATATGTCAGGTATAACTCCCTAACTTTTGAGCATTAGAAAATTCTGGTGTCAGATCATAAGCAAGTCCTAAATTCTTTACTGCTTAGCAGATGAGCTTAAAGTGCTTGGCACTATATGGTGCAAGTCATTCTCTGAGAAGAAATTGTGTTTATCTTGCAAGCATGTACTAACACTGTCTGGGATGTAATTAAGTCCAGCAGAATATAACATATCTCCTGAGAACTTTGCTTTTAGAGGTCCAGAATCTGCCACCAGAATGTGTGTAATCCACACCCTGTCGAAAAGTATTTGTGTCTGAAAAGAAGAACTTGAAAAAAAAATCCTTAAGATAACCAACACCCAGGTGTGCAGGGGAGGCAGGATTGGAGGGCTGGAAGCTGAAACTGGTCTGGAAAGTGGAGCACAGACAGAGGTAGCAAGAAAGGGTGAACAGAGGGGTTGTGGAGAGACAGGGTTTTGTGGTGAATTCTCCCTTGTACTACTTGTATGCACATATAACGTATTTTGCTGCAAAATCACAATATTAGGTTTGTTTGGTTTTTAATAGAAGTAATTCTCAAAAGTGATAGGAGGTAATAGAATGCAACCTATATCAAAATACACTAAAAATGGCACATAACAATGTCAAATTGTTTTAAATGCTAGACTTCACTGTGGACTAAGGAACAAAACACTTTCAAAGTGCATACATCAAGGCAGCATTTGCATAGTTTAACAGCAAACTGAAAGTCTTCCAAACTGTGATATTCCACTTTCTAAAAAATTTACTACATATCCAAAGTTTTCCTCTGTTATTGTCTAGCACAAAACCGTCAGTCTTGTGTCACTTGAAAAGTGTTCTCAGATGAGTAATTACAGTTAAACAGTAGCACCTTCCTCCAGAAAGGGCTAGACATACACATTTCCTTAGTCACTGCTAATTCAGAAAGTTTGGAGATTTGCTTACCTGGAGATTCAAAGTTGTTAAAGTCAGTGTAACAAGGAGGAAAGGATACCCAATGTCACAAAATAATATACCACTACTTGGCAACAAAATACAGTCACTCCATAATAGCTTTTGTAAAAGTCCTCTCAGCATTTATAACAATTAATTAATATATTAATAACTATTAATAACATCTTACCTAGCTATTCAAGTCCACAGATGTCAAAGTCCACAGACAGGACCACCATTTGGTCATTTTGGATTACCAAAGGTTTTATCCTGCCATCGTGGCAGGGGCCACAAAAAAATCCATGAGACCTGCAGGAACCAACTTTGGCTTCTGCAAATTTTCCCCAGACCTTGCACTACACAGAACAGAACTGAGAAACATTCTAGATTCATGTAAAGGAATCTACTTTACAGGTCAAGAAGTCTTTATGGATTAACTTTTTAAGAATTCCTTTAGAGTAATTAAACCAGAAGTAATGCTGAGGAAGAGTGTCAATGTGTATCCTTTGGAATTACTCTGGCTTTCTCCAGAGCCTTAGTGTAGCTCCAGGAGTGAGTCTGTTCTGAAGAAAGCTCCTTGTGGAAAACTGGATGAAACCCACATGTTACCTCATCACCTTTGAAGTTCAGACATATGGATGTGTGTATAATGACCCTGCAGCTGAGCTGGAACCTAAGCCATCTATCCAGGACAAGTACACAACACTCACCATTTCCATGAAAAACCAGTGCCAAGTACAGCAGGCACCATTCACAGGGCTTTAAGCCACAGTTTCCCTCTGGGTGAGTCCAGATCTGGGCTGGAAGGTTGAAACACAAAGCCACACACTGCCAAAAAGTGCTGTGTTTCAAGTGGCTTGGGATCAAACCCATCCTGATTTGCACCCAAACCACACACCATTTCAAGCTTGCTTGTAACTTCGCCAACTGCTGCTGAAGGGTTCACAAACTTCAGTGAACTTGGCTTGAACTTTGTGTTGGAAATGAAAAAGTAAAATAAAACTTTCAAGTTGAAGGTTCTGCCTCAAGACCTTTTGCCCATCTCCAATACTGATGCCTTATAAAACAATAATTGAAGTTCTATTCCATACAATGACCCCAACCCTCATGCCTTACACACACTTCTCCAGGTTTCCTTTTCTGTATGTCTAAGGACCTCTCCCACCTCATTGCTTTCACTATAATCTTTAAGATGAGTAAGAAGATTCTCAGCTACAGTAACACTGGAGGCTATGAATAATTCTTTACTCACAGGAGTAAAATCCCTCCATCCCACAAAACTTACTGAAGTAATGATAACAACACATTCTTAAGGGTTTTCCAAGGACAAATGAAAAGTTGGTTTCTGTTTTTCAAGAAAGTTATAAAACAATATAGAAGAACTTGGAAAACTGATCATGGTCCTGTCAGTGGTAGTAATGCACACAGAGACACACTCTCACATATATTTATCCCTTTAGCTGTTCACTATATGTCATGGTAGCTTTGAACCTTCCCAGCAGCAAGTGCATGTTCTTCTCATGTTCTTCTCTTCTTGCCCTCAGTTCCAGTATCCCTTTTTAACACACTCACTTAAAACTTCTGTCTTAGAATAGGCACTGCAGGTCTGAGGAGCTTTAAGAGAAACTGCAGAGCGGTTCATAAAGATGAGAAGAAAGGAGAATGAACCATCTGCAACTCTGTGTAACTCTTGAAGCTATAACTGTGTAAATAAATAGGATTTAATTGAAAGCAAAAACAGTTTATCCCTGAACAATGAAGTTCACAGAAACTTGGTCTAGAATAGCCTTCAACACTATATGTTTCTCTTCATGCTCATTTTTAGCCTGTTCTGTCTGCTCCTTTTTTATAAAGAATTACCATTTTTGTGGTGGCAGTAGTAAACCATTTGACAAAAATAGCTTACACAAACCTCACTCTGAAAAAAAAACCAACCAAATAAAAAACCATTACTCTCTTCTAAACCATTTCAACCAAACATCATCAAGAATGGCATATTTGAAAACAAGTGAAGCTATCAGATTTCTGAAGAATGCATTTTTGATTCTGCACACTTCTATTTTATAAGTCGTTGTGTAGTCACTTCTTGAGTTTTGTACTTGACCTGAAGAACTGGCAAGTAAAAATAGTTCCTGTCTCTAACCTTCCCTTTTCCATCCCCTGACAATAATCCATTCCTGGTGCTGCTCAGAGGAAGAGTAAAGTGACAGCAGGATCAAACACAACATGTAAATAACCCCGAGGCACTGAGATTTCTCCTTTGATCTACTGAAACAATGATTTCTCTCTGATAATAGAATATTCCCTGAATCTTTTCATAACTGCTGTATATTTTACAACACAGGTCCTGACCTTGTCTAGGTAGGTTTGGTTTTCTCTGAAAGCCTTTCTGACTGAGCTAATGAGAATGTGATATGGTCCCATGCTCTTGTGGCAATACAGTGTAAGGAAATTCCAGCTGACCAACATCCATGCCTGCTTCTGCACTGCTTGTGGAACTGTGCTCAGAAACATGGCACTTCCATGGAAGTGAAAATCAACTGGGGCAAGTGGGAGAGAGGAAGTTTTCAGACATGTCTACTCCTTATTTCACAGTGCACCCCAGAAAGTGTTGTGTTGCTACAAGTGTGTGTGTGGGAGGGTGAAATGGATTGATAAACAAGCAATTAGGGGTTGGAACTGCTCCAGGCATAAGTACCACCAAAAAAAGGCACCTAAAAGTCAAAAACAGTTGCGAAAGCTCCTCAGCAATGTCCTGACATTTTTTATTACACAACTCTAAAGCAAATCTGAAAACTCAAATGTTCCATTAATTTTGGATGCTTTTTAACTCACTGGCATTCAAATTTCAGTTCTTCTCTCCTGCTAATGAGTGGCCTTCTCCTCTTCCAGCTGCTCTTTGTCTGTAATGCAGTGACAGCTACAGGCTGCTGCCCAAATTGGAGACTTGCTATACAAGGCACACAGGCACATCCTTTCTCTCAGGGAGCTGTGTACGTTCTAGTGGGAATAATCAAGTATTCCCTTAAGATGAAGAACTGATGCAGAGATAAAGCAATTTATCCAAGGCCCTATTGGATGCTTGAAGCAGGAACAGGAGTGAACACACATCTTCAGTGTCTTCACAGAGGATTGTACACATTTGTCAATCTGGAAAGGACGAGCTCTACTGCTCTGGAAGTGCACACCTGGTTTGAGCACACCAGGTAAGACAGTGCTGTGGGATGCACATCAATCCACAGTGTAAGTTTCCAGAGATCAGGGTTTGGACAAACACAGGCTCCAGCCAGGC